AGAGACTTGTTGGTGGGCTTGGTCAGTGCTGCAACTGGGCACGTCCCTACTTCCTTGATGACCTGTGCACGGTGTGCACAGGGGGCCATAGAAGAAGGCATGTGATCCAAGATCATCCAAGGAAGTTTGTGCCGCGAGCCATGCCTGGACCTCGCTCGCCTCCTCTGCCTGAAGTAGATCACGCTGCTGTTTCATGGCTTTGGAAGGGAGCTCTGCAAGCACACTGCATCGTGCAGACAGCCTTTCTCATATTTGCGAAGCATCCCTTCGGCGTCTTCAACGAGAGGACCTTTGACAGCCGGTCCTTGGCGACTTCCGATTTCCAGATCACTGCAACATGCTGGAGCCCTGCAGAGATCTGCTGACCTGTCACTATTAGCAGTCACGGGTCTTTCGTGACCTCGGAGCTGGACAAGAAGTTCTCATCCAGCCGAGCAGTCACCGTCTCTCCAAGAGCCTGCAACAGTTAGTCTTGCAGCACATGTCACATGTCTTCAAAGGAGGCAACCAACAAGAAAAAAACGTAACAATCCGCTTCGGCCTCGATGCGAATCGTGTTGTCATCTTCAATTTTTGTTCCCATGCACTCCATGCGGAAAAACACTTTCTGAATGAACGCATCTTCCTGCGTTTGCTTCTGCATGCTTTGGCTCTCATCTAGCACAACCACCTCCCCCTCACATGTGGCACGTTGACGTACATTCCGGCATGTGCAGGCAGCGGTCCGACAGCTCAGCCTTGACATCTTCCTCACCTTGCGGTAGTTTAAGGGGTCTAGGGGTTAAATTCGGTAGGGTCCAGTTGAACTTCCCACGCACAGTGCGCAAGCGACGCAAGTTGAGGGCGCAGCTTCTATTTTGAAGGTGCTGGAAGGTCTCGGTGGCCCAAATCACGGGATCCCTCTGGGTTGCCAGATACCAGGCCTCTTGATCGCCTCAGGGCCATCCGACCTACACCAATGAAGACCATGGAAGACCCTTGTACATCCTTCTGAAGGAAAGCAGATGCTGAAGAGGGGCTCTCTTTGTCCAAGCATCGGTAGAGGAAAGCAGACAAGTCGGGCTTCTTGAAGACCTTGCCTTGTTTGAGAACTTGAGGGTTCAAGCTGTAGGGCCTGTAGGGGCTTAGGCAAGCCTCTGAACTTTGAACGGTTCAACCTCGAATCACACCCCCTGCCACAGGCCAGACGCCGAAACCAAGGGGAATGCCCGAAAGAGGCTCTGAAGGTTGAAATCTGAAGCGGGCTTTAAAAGGGTTTCAGGAAACTTGTGCTTTGCGCTCTCGCAAAGACACGCAAAACGCGGAGCGCGGAACGACGTGTACAGGGCCGAGATGCTAATACGCACGGGTGCATGCCAGTAGTTCCTGCATGGGAGCAGATCGAGCTCGACATCCCTTTAAATGTCACCCTTCAGCCCTCGTCATCTCTAAAGACCTAAGGACCCAAGGGAAGAGCTTTTCAGAACCCCGGTCGAGTAGTGGATGGCTTGGTTCTCGATCATACCAGGCTTCATGGTCTTGATCAGCCAATTCGGCAAGAAGCGGGCCATACCTGCGGCAGCTTCAAAACCGACCACCAAACCTGAACTTTTGCTTCGGAGCTTGTCAGGATTCAGGAGGCCTTTGGAGATCCTGTGCGGAGGGCGAATCCTGAGCTTCAGCTTCGACGCAGCTACGACTCAGCTTCGAGCTCCTGAGGATCCACTTGTTTTGCACCCCGAGGGGCGGCATCCAGTCATAAAGGCCCTCCAGCTTCTCCAAGCGATCATATCGCTCCTCCTCTTGCTCCAACGCTTTGACCTGCCGCACCGTGGCCACAACCACTCTACTACTCTGTTTATGCTGAGGGTCATACGACGTGGTTATAGTGACTATGGGAACCTTTGTGAATATGGTGACACTATGCCGCGACCGAAACCACGCAGTTGACCAGGTTGATGAACCTGTCTGCTGAGCTCGAGAAGCTCCGGCGGCGCATCGGTGCCAATTGGCATTTCCTATGCACTGCGCGGCCGAACGCAACTGAATGCAACTTTTCAACTTCGGTCAGGTTGTTCTGATTTCCAGAGGCTTCGGCCAAACGGGCTTTCCGCATTTCTGCCAGTTGGTGCCGCTTTACAGCCAACTCAGTGCGAAACTCCTTGGCTTGGCATTAGAGTTTCATCACGAATCAAGTCGGGCGCGCGAATTGCCACAGCGGCCTGCGACGCTTGAGACCCTCCGTATATCTCAGTATCTACTGCAGTTGTGGCTCGGGCCGCTGGAAGTGCACATACCGAGCTTCGCAGCCACAGTAATCCTTGCAGACATCTGAGGTGCAGACGCTTTCGAAGAATGTGCGCAATTCAGTCATCCGGGCCTTTATGAAAGTCAATTTCGGGTTGCTTGTTTTGAAGCTCTCCCTGTCCTTGGCTGCAAGTTGCTCTGCAACTCAAAACAATGCCCTGTTCCCAAAGACTGCTGGACCCAGACTCCGGGACACTCGAGACAGCTTGATGCTGGTGCAGTCTTTCCGAGCGTCGATCTTGACTTCATCAGGGTAGCTGCCACTCACCTCCGCAGTTCCGCGGATCAGCCAGCACTGCGCTTTGCCCTGCGCCCCGGGATTGAAACTTTGAAGCGAGCAGCGCATGCGGTCATGCGGGCGATCTCTCTCGGTCTCTCGCGCATATATCTCACTGTCGTGCACAACAGCGTCATGCCAGGCCTCTGTGACCCGGTCGTTGAATGGGTTTCGGAGCACGTATCCCAGGCACCTGCCCCCATCACTGTCCATGGCATAGTTCCTTAACGAGGCATCTTCACTGGGACCAGTGGTACAATCACGCAAGCAGCAAGTGCTTGCAGCAAAAACTTATAGAGATGGCTTGGAGCACGTTTCAGGCAAGCGTCGCATTGCAAAAGTTCTCACAGTCAGCGATTCCAAGCGTTGCCTGCGGCACGACCTTGGGTGCGCTGAGTGCTTTGTAGCGCTCACCGTGCAGGATTCCGCGCAGGTGCCCCAAAAACAGCTGTCAGACTGGGCCGACAAAGCTAGGCAAGCCCGAGGGGCAACCACCCGAAGAGCACTTGCGCGAGCTTGTCGGGCACACTGCGTGCGCACGTTGTTGTTGGGACAGAGCGCAACCAAACCTCACACATTGCATTCTCGGGTAGCAGCAGCTAGCATGTCTATGCATGTCTGCCGCCGAGTTCGTCGAACAGTACTGAGACGCAAAGCCACAGAGCTCCGATCAAGTGAGTCAAGATGAGTCAAGTGACTCTTGAAGGGAGGTCGACCAGAAGGCACAGCTGATGGGACAGAGGAATACCTGAGTGCGGCAAATTGGTATCCTACTGCACTTGACAGTCCTGCACATCGAAGACGCGTCCAACGCATAGTCTTATAAAGCCCGACCTTGTCGAACGCAATCCTAGGTCTTGCCACATTCATGTTACCCCTCCGTTTGCTCAGCTGCTTGTAGGAAGAATGCCCCCACCCGAATTCACAGCATGAACTTGAGATCGGGGCCACGAAAGCTAGAAACGCGGCTGACAAGCAAGCTTTTTTCGAGTCAGGCAGGAGAAGTGCGGGCGCAGCAGCGCAAAACGAAACATGATGGGACACGCAGCGGTCAAGAGCTGTCGGAAGCTGCGGATTCGAATGCTCATCCCGGGGCCTTACAGCTCGACAACAGGGCCTAGACGGAGGGGGAAGCCTGAAAAGGGGGGGGGGGGGGGGGGGGGGGGGGCAAAACCCTGAAAGGAGGGGGGGGGGGGGGGGGGGGGACACCTTAAGATTGATTTTGTCAATCCTATAAGGGGGGGAGGGGGGGGGGCCCCCCCCCCCCTCCACAGCCCTTTATCTCTTTGATTTTCAGACCACCTAAGGGTCGGAGTCGCTTCTTGACCCAGCTGAACACTAGAGAGAATTATTGTAAACGACAACTCTCGCGAGCTCCAAGGAGCTAGCTTTCGTGAAAACTCTCTTGAGCTTTCCACGTACTCAGTGCTCCCACACCCGTCCTATGTTTCTGCATGTCACGCCCTGTGCTTTTCGTGAGTTCACATGGCAAGACCCCGGCCTGTACGTCACGCGGATGCAGACTTTTAATGGCAATCTAATGTGCTTGCATTGCATGGTTGTTGGCAGGAATATCACTCCCTTGAAGCCAAATCCTAAAGATTCCACTACTCAACTAACGGCAGAAACTGAGTGAAGGGCTGGCACCGAACTGATCCCTGACCCATCTGCATCTGCTCTGTCCTGGTAGGTACCCAGAGACATTCGAAGACTCTAGCCGGCAGTCGTTGCAAAATTTGCAGAGCACGGTTTCGCGTCGCTGTCCTTTCTTCATCCAATCGATGCCTTGCAACGATTGCAACGATTGCAACGACTGACTGCAATGCCGGTGCCACGAGGCTGCGTGGTGCAGGACACCACTGTAAGGTCGACGTTGCCTGCGCTTCCTTTTGCCATCTGGGGCCATGGCGTGTCGAATCGATATGCGGCGATCAAGTGAAAGGCAGCGTGCAAGACCAAGCCTCCCCGTAGGGTCAGAGGCACGAGCCACAGCCCTTCGCTGTGGCACTGTTGATGCAACTACGTAACATCCATGCAATTGACATAATGGAAGGGGTCGCAAATCGAAGGCAAGGGTGGGCTCTCCTCTTGCAACCAAGCCCATGCTGAATTGGAGCATGAAATGGATCCTTGGCAGGGAGCTGCTCATCGCGCTTCCGGTTTTCAGGGCTTTTAGGGCTTGTGATAGGGTCTTCGGGGTCCTCCCTGAAAGGCTTTCAAAGCCAGGCCGCTAGCAGTCCACGGGTAACCAGGTGGAGCTGCGAGCCCAGACGGCAACCAAGAAGGCAATGGTCGAAAGCAGACAACGTGCTCAGTCAAACCAAACTCTGAGAGCCTCAATCTGAGCCTTGCTGCCTCATGACTCAATGGACTCAATGGACTCAATGGACTCAATGGACTCAATGGGCTCAATGGACTTTAAGATCGGCAGACCAACCTTCTTCAACGTGTTCTGAGAACGCTTCTCATCCACGAGCGAAGCCTGAATAGCTACGAACAGCCAACAATTTAAAGGATGTCAAGAACAAGAACCACCAACCAGCAACAGCAACATCTTCTCGGAGTCTCTCAGAGGGCACCTGAACCATACTGAACTTCGTTGAACCATGTTATGTTTGGGGCCTCTGTGGTCTTCTTCTGCCTCTCCAAAATCACCTTCTGGTCTCGGAGCTGATTGAGCTCCTGGTCTTCCGAGTCTGCACCACCACTCTACAAGTACTAGACTTCCATGTGTCGCTTCTGATGCAGAGCTTTTGGCTCGCCAGGTAAAATCTAGCCACAGCCGTCCTTGAGCTTGGCATCCTTTTCCTTCCCCTTTCCCTTCTTGTACCTGGCAAGCCGTCTCGCAAACGCGCAGACACGCAGCTGGGCTCTCAAGTGGGCAGAAACGCGGTGTTGAAAAGCATCTGCTCCGCTGCAACGCTGCAGCAACCATCCTTCGAGTCAGGTCACTCCTCATCCACCTTCTTGATCTTGCTGCTGAGGTTGGAGATCTGGCTTGTCAAATCTCGGTCTTTGGCCTCAAAGGAAGCATAAGCAGCCACAAGCTCCGTGGTGTTTCCTAGCAGGCCGAACTATGCAACGTAGGCGAATTCGGCCTCTTCCCCCTTCATCTTCTGTTCCAGGCTTTGCAGGGCCTCAGAATGTGGGCAAAGGGCGTGGACCTTTGGAATATACGCCGTACGCTACAGATCGCTACAGAATGACCCCTTGAACTCGGCTTCACATCTGCCTCAGTCAGCTTAATCGCCCGGGCCTTGCTGGCCTTCTCCTTTGCTTTGAACCTCTTCGAGACGCTGTCCGCCAGCTCCTGGCATATAAAACGGTACGACGCATGCAAACGCGTCTGTCGTCGTTCACTGATGCAGCCCAAATCATCAACACATCTGAGGCCAGTACCTCATCAGCGGTTCTCCTCACCTCAAGACCAAGCCATCACGTCACCAGAAGGAGCTGAAAGGCCCCTTAAGCTTAGCATTCCTACAACCAATGCTAGATTCAAATGTCGAAAGATAACTCTGCTCCGGCCTTCGCTGGCGCGCTGGCGCTACGTGCAGCCTTTGCCTTTTCTGCCGCGGCCTTGTTTTCCGCCGCAGCCTCAAAAGCAACTAAGGAACATCTCAACCGCAAATCCCAAACTGCCCATAAACCCTGACAAAACCATAGGCAAAGTCTTCTACGCCGGTGTCTAACCACACGAATCCTCTTCACCTGCACTCCCTCTCAGCTAAACAGCTCGGGCAGTCAAATTCAATCACGTGTTCCCCTCGACCCTAGTTGATCTGAATCAGGTTTGAAAAGTGGCTTCGCCTTGGGTCCCTTTTGATATAAAGTTGCCCTGAAAGTTGGGTCAACGACCTGAGGGGCTCTGTGAGTCTTCCTTGGTCCTTTTACTCGTAGCAGAATCCGCTCACAGAACTCGCAGAAGCGCGAATTCACACGCGCACCACGTGCACCACATGCACCACATGCACCACATGCAATCACATGCAATCACATGCAATCACATGCAATCACATGCGCACCTTCGCCTCTGCTGCTGCTTTCGCATCCGCAGCTTTCTTAGCCTTTTGGCACTGCATGAGAGCGGAGGAATTATGCGAGCTGCGAACGGCCTAGTGAGCCACAGGTATTCGAAGCACTAAGCACGCTGTGAGATTGTGCCTCGGCAGCTGCTCTGTCTGCTTTTTCCTTCTCTTCCCGCGCCTGCGTGGACGAACCCATTTGACCATTCAACTTCAAGGGCTAGGTTCGGTTGACAGTTGAATGAGTGTTGAACGTGAAGAACTCGACTTCCTTCGTCCACAAGGACTTCGTGAGACTCGTTCACTAGCGCACTGGAGCAATCGGCCATTTTCTGGCTGAGGACATGGTGATGTAGCAAGGACAAGACGGTGACTGCCAAGGTTTGGGATTCCTCCTGTTGCTTCATTTGCGACATTCAGTACGCCAGTATGCAGTACGTGCCCAAGAGTAGCCAGAACTTGGGAGGTACAGCGTTCCAGCATCCGATGGGCAGTGTTCCAGCATCTGTTGGGTGCGCGCATGTGCTTGATCAAAGGGCGGACGAGGGTCAAGATATGTCACGATCTCCCTGAACTGTTGGGCTCGAGCTATCGCATTCAATATCTTATGATTCTTCTTGCTTGTTTGTGCGTGACTTTGCTATATTTATTGAATATGTTGGTTGTCGCATTTGTGCGGTTCCCAACGATTCCTTGGTGGAGAAGGTGTCCTTTCGATGGTCACGGTCTGCTTTGTAGAAAAAAACTGTGGGGGAAATTGGCACTGGCGTGGCAAGCCAGGCCAGATCGGAATCCCGCAAGCAGCGTTTCCGACCTTCTTCGCCTCTGCTGCCGCTTTGGCGTCCGCTGCTTTCTTAGCCTTTGGACACAAGCAAATTCAAACAAAGAGAAGTATGCCGGCTGCAAATGGCCGATAATCCTAACATACCCGAAGCAACAAACAAAAACAATAACAAACACGACACTGAAATACTGCCTCGGCAGCTGCTTTGTCTGCTTTGTCCTTGGCTTCCTTCGCCTACGCAACATCACGGGGTACGCTCACTCTGCCGAGGCCTCGGGCCGAAGGTGTATAGGTTGTGAGAACAGGCACCCCCCTCCAAATCCTCTTCCCAAGCCGAAAGCCACACGTCGGCCCCCTTTCGTAGCAGGGCCAGGGGCAGTTGAAGCCCCCCCCCCCCCGCCCCTGCCCCCTTGCCCCGCCCCCCCCCTCCTTTTGCTTTTCGCCAAACCGTGAAACGTGAGCCCCCAAAGCCCGCAACCCTAAACTAACCCTCAACCCTGAAGCCTAAACCATAAACCCGGAACCCTAAACCCTAAACCCAACCCTCATTGCTTGGGGTCCAGCGACTTGGGCACTGCAGAATCACCATGCTCACGCGGATGCGCTGGGCCGGGCCGAGGCGGGTCGCGTAGCGTTAACATTAACATGTAATTGCCCTCCCATCCCCTCCACACGCCCTTCCGCCATCATTGCCCACTTCATCTTGCGGGTCGACCGCTTGTTTGGGTGTTGGCGAAGCTCTACTAGAGTCCCGTAAACTTTTGAACCAAACCACAACCAGGCGGGAGTAGGTCCAATGTCCTACCTGCAGTTCAGGTACGTGCGGTAAAGTGGTACCGAATTCCAATGGAGGGTAGCGCCGGCATGGTTATGGCGGTCGGAAAAGAGGAACACGCCGGTTGGCTCGCCATCACTTGGGAAGATCTGCTGGGCTCTTGCCATGTCTCACGGCTGACCGCCCTCGTCAGGCCCTCGTCCCTCAGCCAGGATCCAAGAAGCAACAGCACCTGAAAAAACACAAGTAACACACCGGCACCCGCACAAATTCTTCCAGCCTCTCAGCACAAACTGTGTTGCTAGAGACGTCCAGGCTTCTCTGCAACCAACAGATCTGCAATGCCCTTCCAACACAGATGCCGTGCAAAGAGCATCTCCCACCTTCTTCGCCTCTGCAGCTGCTTTGGCCTTCTCCTCGCGTGCCTGCGACTCTTCATGCTGCAATATAGTGACATTTGTGAGTGGACCCGCTTGACGACCAAACTGTGCGGCGGCGAGCTGTGCTGTGCAAGCTTGGAAACCTCAGCTCGAGCCTTCTCGGCTTCCACCTTCTTCTTGGCTTCCTCCTGTTGTCTGGCCTCCGCCTCCTGCTTCTTCTTCTGCTCCTCTGCTTGGCGTCTTGCCTGGACACACAACCATGCACAATTGAGTTGGCAGCTTGCGGTGTGAATTCAATGCAAACCTCCTACAAAGCTTCACTTGCAGCAAGATGTGTTCCGAAAAGTCGTTCATCTACATGTAGACGTCCTCAGGCGTCGCCGAGCTTCAAACACACATTGATACACGTATCATGTCTTCTCGCATGTGGCCTCTGCATCTTGCTTTCTCTGCTCCTCCTCCGCCTTCTTCTTAGCAGCTTCCTCTGCGCGCGCCTTCTCGGCCTCCTCCTTCTTCTGGGCTTCCTCCTGTCGCTTGGCCTCGGCCTCCGCCTTGCGCTTGGCCGCTTCCTCCGCGCGCGCCTTCTCGGCCTCCTCCTTCTTCTGGGCTTCCTCCTGTCGCTTGGCCTCGGCCTCCGCCTTGCGCTTGGCCGCTTCCTCCGCGCGCGCCTTCTCGGCCTCCTCCTTCTTCTGGGCTTCCTCCTGTCGCTTGGCCTCGGCCTCCGCCTTGCGCTTGGCCGCTTCCTCCGCGCGCGCCTTCTCGGCCTCCTCCTTCTTCTGCGCTTCCTCCTGTCGCTTGGCCTCGGCCTCTGCCTTCTTCTTGGCGGCTTCCTCCGCACGCGCCTTCTCGGCCTCCTCCTTCTTCTTGGCCTCCTCCTGTCGTTTGGCCTCGGCCTCCGCCTTCCTCTTCTCCTCCTCCGCCTTGCGCTTGGCCGCTTCCTCCGCACGCGCCTTCTCGGCCTCCTCCTTCTTCTGGGCTTCCTGCTGTTGTCTGGCCTCGGCCTCCGCCTTCCTCTTCTCCTCCTCTGCCTTGCGCTTTGCCTCGACAATGAAATACGAACGCTCTGTCAAGACATAGTCAGCTGAGTTGCATGTGTTGCCGATTTGCTGTTGCTTGAGAGGGGGGACGCACCATGAGTGGCCCTACCTCGCCGCACTGCAACCGCTACAGTACGTTCTGCATGCAGATTCCATCCGAAACCCTGTTGCCAAGTCCCACCTACTAGGAGATATTGTCGCAACCTCCTTGTTTTGATGTTTGCGGGACTTCAAAACGATCCTTCCTCTTGCTGCCTCCCCAAATCATGCCTGCCCGACGCCTTCTGACTTCTCTGCTGACCCTGTTTTACTTGCATAAGCCCTTCATGGTTTTCTAGTTCGTTCGTGCTCTGAACCCTAATTCCCCCCCCCCGGGCTTGGCTTGAAGAACGTATAAGAATGCTTTACTTGTGATAGAGGAGTGGTACAAACGCAGTGGGACAGCAAATGAGAAAATGATGAGGCCTAACGGACTCTCACATTCTGTCTCTTGCCATCCGGCCTCCGCCTCCGCCTTCTTGTTCTCCTCCTCTGCCTTGCGCTTGGCGGCTTCCTCAGCACGCGCCTTCTCGGCTTCCTCCTTCTTCGCCTCGGCCTCCGCCTTGCGCTTGGCCGCTTCCTCTGCGCGCGCCTTCTCGGCCTCCTCCTTCTTCTGGGCTTCCTCCTGTCGCTTGGCCTCGGCCTCCGCCTTGCGCTTGGCCGCTTCCTCTGCGCGCGCCTTCTCGGCCTCCTCCTTCTTCTGCGCTTCCTCCTGTCGCTTGGCCTCGGCCTCCGCCTTGCGCTTGGCCGCTTCCTCCGCGCGCGCCTTCTCGGCCTCCTCCTTCTTCTGCGCTTCCTCCTGTCGCTTGGCCTCGGCCTCTGCCTTCTTCTTGGCGGCTTCCTCCGCACGCGCCTTCTCGGCCTCCTCCTTCTTCTTGGCCTCCTCTTGTCGTTTGGCCTCAGCCTCCGCCTTCCTCTTCTCCTCCTCCGCCTTGCGCTTTGCCTCGACAATGAAATACGAACTGTCAAGACTTGGTTAGCTGATGCTAGGTGCATGTTTTGGCAGACGTGCTGTTGCCTAAGCACATTGCAGTCACTCAGCCCTGCAGATTCAAGCCAATAAACCTGTTGCAAGGCTCACTCACATTCTACTTTGAGCAGAGAGCAGAGTGCCTGCTTCAACCCTTATAGCCTACTATTTAAAGGCTTGCTCCGAACATCGCCACCCAAACAACTCCTTGGGGGGAGGGGGGGGGGGGGGGGGGAGGCATTCCATGGATACTCTGTCGGATACTCTGTCGGTGGGTTCTTTGGGGATCAGGATTGGGAACTCCAGCGGCCCAGGCAAAAAGTTCATGCAGGAGACACAGACCACGAGAAGCTGACTTGAAAAACCTAACAGCAACAACCACGCTTAAGAATGATGAACACCAAATACTCCGCGTGACTACCCAGGTGGCGGTCACTCCAGACTCCACATGCTCTGTCGGACGGCATTCCACCGGGAGAGCGAACAACCCCACATCAGGGTGGGAAAAATCGGCAATCAAGGATCTCCATTAAACGTTTTTCCGACCACCTCGCCAAAAAGGCAGTCCTGTTGAATCTCATCATTTTTGGTACAACCTGTCGTCGCTTTTGAAAACATTTCACTTCATGACCTTTCGAACCCCTTCATATTGCTTTCCCGAGGCTTCCTTCAAGTTGACGGCGGCGTATGGGCCCAATTGAAGTTCCACATTCTGTTTCATGTTGTCTGGCCTCAGCTTCCGCCTTCTTCTGCTCGGCCTCCGCCTTCTTCTTGGCGGCTTCCTCAGCACGCGCCTTCTCGGCCTCCTCCTTCTTCTTGGCTTCCTCCTGTCGCTTGGCCTCGGCCTCCGCCTTCTTCTTGGCGGCTTCCTCTGCGCGCGCCTTCTCGGCTCCTCCTTCTTCTTGGCCTCCTCCTGTCGCTTGGCCTCGGCCTCGCCTTGCGCTTGGCCGCTTCCTCCGCGCGCGCCTTCTCGGCCTCTTCCTTCTTCTTGGCTTCCTCCTGTCGCTTGGCCTCGGCTTCCGCCTTCTTCTTGGCGGCTTCCTCTGCGCGCACCTTCTCGGCCTCCTCCTTCTTCTTGGCTTCCTCCTGTCGCTTGGCCTCGGCCTCTGCCTTGCGCTTGGCCGCTTCCTCTGCGCGTGCCTTCTCGGCCTCCTCCTTCTTCTTGGCTTCCTCCTGTCGCTTGGCCTCGGCCTCCGCCTTCTTCTTGGCGGCTTCCTCTGCGCGCGCCTTCTCGGCCTCCTCCTTCTTCTTGGCTTCCTCCTGTCGCTTGGCCTCGGCCTCCGCCTTCTTCTTGGCGGCTTCCTCTGCGCGCGCCTTCTCGGCCTCCTCCTTCTTCTTGGCTTCCTCCTGTCGCTTGGCCTCGGCCTCCGCCTTCTTCTTGGCGGCTTCCTCTGCGCGAGCCTTCTCGGCCTCCTCCTTCTTTTTGGCCTCCTCCTGTCGTTTGGCCTCGGCCTCCGCCTTGCGCTTGGCGGCTTCCTCTGCTCGCGCCTTCTCGGCTTCTTCTTTCTTCTTGGCCTCCTCCTGTCGCTTGGCCTCGGCCTCTGCCTTCTTCTTGTCCTCCTCTTCTTTGCGCTTGGCCGCTTCCTCTGCACGCGCCTTCTCGGCTTCCTCCTTCTTCTTGGCTCGTAGGGCCTTCCAAGACTCTCTGACGGACTGTGCATGATCCAATACGTGGAGATTTTCGCAGCCAATGTTGCAGCCACACAAACACGATTACACGATTGATGGACGAGCTCTGCTTGCACAGGGGCATCGCGCCTCTGCCTCCTCCCGTGCCTTCTGCATCTCGGCCTGCTTCTTTTCGGCCACCTCCTGTGGGGGCTATGGTGCTGCCAGGTGCTCCATAAGCCACCCCATTTCCCAACTCCCCTTTGACTCCTTCTCGACTCCCTTTTCCACACTAGGGCCTTAACATCGCAGGGGCCTTTTGCGTGCCTCTAGCCAACCGAATGGACTTCGAGGCTTCTGGCAGACCAAAAGTCGCAATGACGGTCCTTTCTTCGTTGTTCCTCTTCCTCTCGCTTGGCCTTGGCCTCCGCTTTTCTCCTTTCGATTTCCTCCTTCCTCTTCTGGGCTGGGTCCTAACAGAGCTACACACCCAGGCAAACATACACGGCGCCCGATTGGCTTCTCTTGGCACTCCTCTGCCACTGCCGCTACTTCTTCAGCCTCAGCGGCAGCATGGAGTTGCAAGGCACCGGCATGCGAGTGATCGAACTCACAAAGTGGCTAGTAACTTGTAGTGACGAGAAACTGGTACGATTGGCACGTCACTACATCAACATGCTGATGACCTTTGTCAAAATCACCTAACATAGCACGGGCATGCGAAGGCCTTCACAGCCGACGGTGCGACCTTAGACGCAAACACTTGCGAAAGATGTTGACGGTCGACAGAACTGCTATATTGCTGCTTCAGCTCACACAGCTGTGGCTGCAGCAGGTCCGAGCAAAGCCACGAGGACGAGAGCCATCCCTCCCAGCACCTGCGAGGGGAGCCATAGTATGATCGATGATGATCGATGATGATCGATGATGATCGATGATGCTCCCCCTCACCGGCAAGGGACTGAACCATATTGGGACGATGCTTTTGTTCAGCGCTGTCCGTTCCAAACAGGGTGGATCAGGATCCGGAGGGAGTTCATGGCAGCATCGACGGCAACCAGGCTCGTCGACTCGCCCTTTGCAGCAGATGTAGCGCTTGACATAAGACCTCGTTTAACAGGATGGAGATCACGAAGCTTGTGCTGCGACTCTATCACCGCCTTGGGTTCTCTAGGTCCTCGGCTTGAATACCTGTCGACCACAGATCCTGAGCAAACATAAAACTAGCCGCACAGGCTCCGCATGCTTGTCAGGCGTAGCTCCAGTACTGGCGCCTGCAGGCTGCAGGCAAGGATCTCCGTGCCGCAATTTTTGCAGCAACCTTTTTCAGATCTTTCAGGCCAAGGGCAGCAAACGCGATCTTCGCGAGAGATTTCCACATCCTCCGTCTGCAGAGCCGCTCAGCGTGATCATCATGCCGAAGACAAATAAGACCAACTAAATCAGAATAAATGAGATGTTCTTTCAGATAAAGTATTGAAAAGAAGCCATGCAAGACTAAACTTACTCAGCAAAACATGCCTCCGAGCCTTAGATCCAAAAGACTTACGAAAATCAGACCCGCAGTTGAAAAAGCAGAGTCCTCCAGCCAAGGAAAACGGTGGTGTCGGCACGACGTGTCGGTGTTGCCTTTGCTGACTCCAAGCCGTCGCCAAACCCAAAATGACCCGCGAAGATCAACTGGGAGAACTGCAACAGCCGTACCATTCAAAACCGGAAGCGTGCTACGTCGAAGTACACCCCACATCGCTGGCAGCATGGCGGCCACTCCAACAGCAGGAAGTCAAACTCAGCCTGCACACTGCTTCGTGCTGGTGGCCTGTCTTCGTTGGCACCTCCCTGGAATCAAACGCACACAGCACGCGGACCAAGCCAACAGAAAGTTCAAACGCCGCAGCTCCTTCAAGGCACCCGGCATGTCCTTTGGGATTTCACCTCTGGAGAGGCGGAGTTTCAAAGTGGCACTCTAATCTGCGTGTTGCCAAGCCACCTGTCCGAGCAAAGCGCAGGACCCAATCGAAAAGGTCTGGGTCCCTGTCCAAGAAGAGCGTCCCATCCTTTCAGGGTGCACTGGTAAGCTGCATCCACACGACAAAGCTGTGGCACCAGCCTCGTCACGGTCAACAGGGACTTCGCCATCCAACCTCTCAGCACGGACAGAATGTTTGTCTTCCTTTCTCGATTCACATTTGACATGTTGGGGGTGTGTGCGCTGTTTCGCAAGGCCTCTGTACCTATCAGGAAATGCAAAAGAGTAGCAATCGAGCACAGAAGTCTCCACAAGCCCGCAGCGTCCCTTCAGACGTGCGAAAGATGCGCCCGCCCACATTCAGCTTGACCATCGGCATGATCCGACATGGGCAACCCAGTTTTGCTTGTTGAAATCATGGCAAAGCAGCTTGGAACTGAACGGCCAGGCGTTCAAGCCATGCTTCTAGATCGTTCTCACTTGCTTAGGCCCCTTTTTGGCCTGTTGGATCTGGTTTTGGAGACACTTGAAAAAAGGGCGACTTTTGGCAGCTTGGGCCACTGCAGCTGACCCATTCAAGAAGAAATCCAGCAAGAGTACGTGGAGAAGTGCAACATCATGAAATTTGAAATTTTGAGCAAGGGCCGGATTTTCGCGCGCTGGTCGCAAAGTCGGGGCAGTCTCCGCGATTTGTGATTTCTCACTGGCGAACGTCTGCCTCTGCCGACTTTGTGGTCTCCGCGACGGCCTGTTGGGAAGTTTAGGGGTTCTGGCTTTTGGGGTTTAGAGGACATGTGGGAGTTGGATGGTCAGTTCTCTATGATTTCGGGTGTCCTTCTCTGACTCCTTCCGGGGGTGCCCCTAGACAAGCTGACCGGGCATGTCCAAAAACAGAGGTACGCCCCATATGCCATATGCCCCAAAAGAATATAACCCTCTTACAAACGGAACCCCCCAAAGCAGACACCTTCATTCTGGAAAGCTACGGCATGGGTCCCAGAAAAGCCGCGCAAGAGTGAGGATGACAGCAAAGGGGCCCACCTGGAAGACGAAGTATGGTGGCTCCTGGCCGACGCTTTTCGAGGCGCTGTTGGGCCTTTTTAGGGGCCTTTTTAGGGGCCCTCAGGGCTTAAGGAGTTGGGGGCGGTTGGACAGAAACCCGGTCTGTGCAAAACCCTACAGCCGAAATCAGCTCTTGGCCTCCAACTCCACAACAGTTTCTTTCGGGTTCGGGATTCGGGTTCTTATTATAAGAAGTCCAACCTGCAACACGGCGCAGGAGCAAGTTGCCTTAGAGGAAAGCACTGTGCCTTTGCAAGGGCAGCGAGGATGAGCGCAGCACTGACCTGGCGACTCAGAAGGTGAGACGAAATCGACGAAATCGCGAGGGTGAGGGCGCTTTCTCCCCCCTGAATTCAAAATTCCATGCCTTTTCTCGATAGATCAGACACAACGCCCATAAACCCTATGGTCTTATAGAAGTCCCGGACCTGGGAGACCCAAACGCCCCCAGGACCTCGCTCAACCCATCTGATGCAACTCCATTCTGAAAAGGAGCAGGAACCTACAGCAAGGCCCCCGTAAACCCCCCCTTTCTTAACTCCCCCCCCAAAAAAAGAAACAAAAAAACAACGAGAACCCAGAGGCAGCCAAGAAACATAAAAACAAAAATGCCCGGGTCTTAAGGATGCCCCTTAAGGCATATAAGGCGGTGCCCAGGCGGCCGATGCTCCGGCTCCGAGGTTGCTGCCCTCAGGGACGGACATCTCGGGGCCGAGCTTTGCCAAAACGGCGTCGGCCTCTCCGGGGTCGCAACATCGGGCATCTTCTGTATTTCATCTATATTCATCTATATTCATCTATATTCATCTATATTCATCTATATTCATGTCTATTCATCTATATTCATCTTGTTTTTTCATCCATAGGAGGCGTGAGGGTCGAGTTGGTGACTTCCTTCTAGTGTGCCGGGGAAGGGTGTTGTTGGGAAATTTGGGGGCTTTAGCTGCCTCCACTCAGGATTCAGGGCTCTCGCGGTCTCTCGCATCTGACAGCCGGGGCCTGTGAGCGCATTACCCGCGAAATCCGGCGCGCCCTCTCAGTGAAGAGCGGCTCGTTCAGGAGCCTGGTGCAACACGCCCCAGATCTCCAAATCTTCAAGTCAGCTGCACGGCTGCACGACACCTTTGGACCAAGGTGAGGCATGCGAGTCTCGCGGCTTTCCTTTTTGTGTACTTCACTCTGGCGGCTCACTGCCAAGGAGGTCTTGTAGGATAAGCAACCGATTCTTTCCTCCATCCTGGCCACTCCAATGTGGATATGTCGCGAGGAAGGGACGACGCATTCGACATATTATGAGCTCGCCACATCGTGCGCCTCATCCCACTCTGTTAGGCTCACTTCTTTCACCTGCAGCGCCACAGGTGTTGTCGCATTTTGTCCACGTCTCTTCTGCCCTTCAAGCCTCCACTTCTGGCAGGATGGCAGCCCAGTGCTGCCGCCGCAGCACGCGTGTCACCGGTGACTGGTGGTCATCCTTTGCGCGCAATGCAAAAGTTGCAACCCAGTCAGCGCTCCAAGCCATCTGCACCAAGGAACGAGGTCCAGCGCCTTCCCCCGATGTGGCCAGTGCAGTGCAAGGCCTATAGATGTGAAGGAAAGCTCCAGAAAGCTCGAGACAATTGCAACATCACCCCTGGAGCTCATATGCATGAAAAATTCAAGAATACAAGAGAAATCCAGAGCTGAGACACAGAAAGGCTCCGCGAGGAAGGCCGTCCTTGACAAACAATTCGAAGGCACGGGGGGGGGGGGGGGGAACTTCATCAAAGGCCCATCTTCAGTTTCCCAATGTTTCCCTGGCAGGTCACACTGCATCATCGCCGGAGGCCCCAAGATCCTGACTCGACGCGCTGGCACGCTATGATGCTTGCAGGATGCTACGACTTGGCCACCAGAAGCAGAAGAAGATGAAGAAGCGATGTCCTGGACAACTCTAGCGAGCTCTTCGCCCCTCTCCGATGTCCAGGCGGCTCTCTCTGCCTCATGCGAGGTAGAGTCGGGTTAGATCATGAGTTTCACTGAGTTCGCTGTGCAACCAAAAACTCACTATGGCTCACTGTGCTTTACCTAGCACAGCCTCTGGCAAAAGCCTGCACAAAGCCGGCAAAGCCACCGTGAGCCTCAAGACTTCGCGTCAGCTCGTCCTTCCACTTAGAGAAGGGGCTCGTCCCACCCTCAGCCTCCTCCTCCTCGCAGGGCATCGCATCAGAGCATTGCCAAGCAGGCTGCGAATGCAAAGCACCGGTCCTGAGATGGCTTCATTACTGGCTGCAATTCTCGCAATAGCCACCAGCTTTCCGGAGAGAAGCCTGAAGATTGCCGAAAATGAATCATGGAACATGGTGAGACGTCCCTGAAGCCCTCTCTGGAGGGTCGAGCCACGTTTGTTCTTCTAGGCTGGTACCATCTTTGCCAGGAGGCCGCTCGAATCAGATTCAGCGAGCTGCTTCAGAAGGGAATCGGCAAGCTCCTGCGCGGAATGCGCACAAAAGCCACACATTACCGACTTGGCCTTGATGCCTGCGTCCAGCCCAAGCTACAGCAGTGTCTTCCTGCTCTTCAGAGGCTTTGCCCAGAGCATGCAGCGCCCAAAGAGCGCGCACTTTAGCGCCGCTCTCTGCCTCGGCGCCTGGGCGGCACAAGGTGGAGGAGACACTTCGAAGACACGGCGAGTACCGCCACGTCCCAACGCTCTCAGCTGCACCACCGAGAAGGAATGCCCCGAGCGTGGATCGTGCCAAGCACCGGACCCAGGCGCTTAGCCGCGGCAAACAGCGCGGTGGGAGCGCGCTCTGCTAAAGCCTCTCAAGCCGCGCCCTCTCTGGTCTTGGCTGTCTTAGCATCAGA